TTTGGCTCTGTCATATAAAATTAGAACTAGAACCTTCAGATTTTTTGATATTGGTTCCTCCAATAACGTGCCACCACCGAGATGCTTATTAGAATCAATTTACTCTCAACCAATCTCTGGCGTTTCGGCACTCCCAGGTTTGACCTAGGAGTTGCGTCAGTGTTCCCTTTCCGGCTAGATAACATCAGCTGCTTCCCTTTTCTCCTACGTCCCAACGGCCGCGACAAGCTCGCTAAATAATAGACGCTCTACTAAAGCCCGACGGCCCCCAGACTTGACGTCAGCTAATTCAAGGTCACGCTGGCAGACAAGGCCATCTTACGCGCATAGGCCAGCCTTCCTTGTCACCTATAGTCCCCTTTGTTTATGTCACCCAGACGGACGCCTTTATCATATGCAAGCAAACAGTCCATTCGCGGAAATTTGTCTTGTGTACTAATAAATCACTCCGAACATCTGACTACTTTCTTTCATCAGAAGGAATACTCTTAGTGTAGTTGTTATAGTAGATTGCACATCCTTGGCCGCTACACACTCGCTCTCATTTGCCCAGAGTTAACCACTGCAACAAATACGATAGCGAAAATAAAAAGAGATGAGGAGTATCGTACATTTCAGGACGAATGGGCTAAAGAATTCGCATTTGAAGAAAGAGCAGGCTATGTGGTGTGTCTAATTCTTAATGACAACATTACATCGCTGAAACCGTCGAATATAAAGCGCCACATCAACACACGACATGATACCTTTGCATCAAAATACCCTGCGGGAGATAGCAGAAAGAAAGCATGGCACGAGCTAATGGGCAGAGTACAAGCCAGCCAGCAGCAACTCCGCGTATGGACCCAGCAAGGTGACTATAATTCCGCTAGCTTTGCTGGATCTTAAGCAGTAGTGAGGAACGAAAAACCATTCACATATGGCGAGTATGCTAAAATGTTCATACTGGATGTAGCCAATAAACTTTTGTATGATCTTCCGAACAAACACAAGATAAGAAAACGTATAAAAGGCGTGCCTCTGTCTGCAAAAACTGTTTATGAACGTACCATCATGATAGCAATTCACATGGAGGAAACGCAAGTGAAAGACATAAATGCAGCGCCGTTCTTTTCTCTGCCTTTGGATGAGTCAACAGACGTAAGCCATTTGGCGTGGCTCAGTGTGATTGCAAGATATGCTGCTGATGATACACTGCGCGAATGAAGTCTTGCTGTTCTGCCAATAAAAGGGGGGAGGATCTATTCAAGTCTTCCATGGAGTTCGCTCAAGAAAAAAAACTACCTATGGATAGACTTATCTCAGTGTGTACTGATGGTGCTCCGTGGAAGGGTGGAAAGCAAAATATTTGTGGCGTTCTCTGTGAACATGAAAATACACCCATCCCACGTTTCCATTGCATTCTACGCCAGGAGGCACTTTGTGCTCAGATGTGCGACGGGCAGCTTGGCGAAGTGATATTGCTGGTCATTCGTGTGATCCACTTTATTGTTCCCCGGGCCTTAAATTATCGACAGTTTACAACACTTCTGGATGAAGTTGGAAATAACTATCACGGTCTGCTTTTGCACAGCAATGTACGTCAGTTGTGAATAGGAAAGGTGCTCAGCGGTTTTGTGTTTGGCCTGAACGAAACCCAGACTTTCCTTGAAATGAAGGGCATTGAGCATCCTGAGCTAGCCGAAACTGAGTGGCTCCTTATGTTTTACTTTCTCGTGGATATGACAGCACATCTGAACCGGCTCAACTTCAGAATGCAAGGAAATGGAAATACAGTGTTATCCCTTCAACAAGCCATGTATGCTTTGGAAAAAAAGCTGGGGCCGTTGATCACTGATTTTGAAACAGATCGTTTACTACATTCTGAAAAACGGAGAGCATATAAAGATGCATGCACAGTAAGTGGACCCCAACAAAACTTTGATCTCCACCAGCTAGTTGGCTTCATACCTTGTCTCCTGCAGTCGTTCAAGACACGCTTTGGAGAATTTCGGGCGCACACTCATCTTTTTAGTTTCATCACTCACCCATCCGAGTGTTTACTGAACACAGCCGACTTAAGTTATATTCCTAATGTCTCCGTTAGACATTCCGAAGAAGAGGAAGTGGCTGACCTGAAGGCCTCCAACATGTGTATGAATAAGTTAAAGTCACTCAGTGTAGATATTGGAAGAATCTAACGACATAAAGTTGAGTTGGCAAGCAAACACATGTGGAGAGAAATTTATAAAAACTTCAACCCGAAGACCAGCTGATAATCAAAACTTGGAACACGCTTCTTGTCACATACCATACATTGCAGCCTGCCAGTGTTGCTGTATCGACTTTGTTTGCATCTACGTATGCACGTGAGCAGTCATTCTAACATCTTAAATGCATCAAGTCCATCCTACTATCACGTCTAACGGACGAAAGCCTCAACGCTTGCGTGAAGCTTAACCTCACCAACTACCAATCAGGCTAAAAAGCCATCAGTGAATCCATGCAGCACCAAAATTCGCATTAACAGTGAGTATTATATGAACATTATTGAAAAGAATAAATCCAGAGTCGTATTTTACTCACATTTAATTTAATTTTACCTTAAAATACAGGGTGT